AATTCGAATTTTTGCAAATAAATTAAGTATCCCTTAAGATCATTAATGGGTTGTCCATTATTCAATTTTTAAATTTATTATGACTGTATAATACATATATTTACTTATAAAATAACACAAATTTCATATTATATATTTATATAACACAATTCAATTAATCTTGATCAATCGTTAATCATTATTTACAAAATGATATTGAATGTTTATATTTCATACGAATATTATTACAAATAATTACAAATGAGTGAATTTACTTTAAAAAAAGTGAATGATACCTGTAAAATGATTAAGTTTATTTGCAAAAAGGTGGATATAATCTATAAAAGGATTAATTTAGTATAGCTGAAATATATCTTGAAACTAAAGTAGATAATTTTTATTTTGCGCAAAAAATTCGCAGCCTACTTGACGCATGTGGTCTACACAGGCACGTGAAACATCTATTCCTGTTTTCCGGAAAAGCAGGACTCCGACTGTCCGTCGCCCGTGCACATGTTTCTATAATCGATGAACGAGCAAATATTGCGACTACACGTAAACAGGGACCGTTTCTCGCGTCGACCGACCAAGCAATTGTGATCGTGACGCACGTACATACGCCGCGCCGCGAGCCGAGGGAAAAGGATTGTTATTTTAGCGTGCAATTAGCTGTCAGTAATTTAACCGTAACACGATCGATGGAATGTTGATGTTACGCGAAGTTGCGGCGTTTGTCGAGCACGCTCCAGCAACACTTCTGGCGACCGTTTTACATTTTGCACAGCGGAAACAACTCGAAATCAACAATAAAGGTATCCTGGAGCTGACGTAACGTGTAATTGCATCAAGAAAGTAGCGCCGGAATATGGCACAAATGAACGGAACTAGATGAGAAGGATTCAGAGCGAAGGAGGTGGAAGAAAATAAATGTAAATTCGCCGAGAACACGCTGGCTCATATAATACGTAACGGAGACAAAAGGAGCCTCTTCGCGGCCATGAAAAATTTATACAGAGATCTTTGTCTCTTTCAAACGAGTCCCCGGCGATTTCTTTTTCTGGAGAATGTCCGAAAAAGATTCCGAATGTCCGAAGATTCGAAATGTATTTCGTGGTAACCGGCGGCTCGGGGACCGCCGAAGAAGAATTGACGGAAGAAAGAATCCATTCTCGACGGTGTCATTTTTTGCCTCCGCGATTCATCGCCCTCTCGAACAGAGACCGGGTTACTTTTCGTCCGACGAAACCGAGTCGAGGATGTAAAACCTCGTTCAGACCAGGGCTTGAAATAACACGTCAATTTCCAACTTTCCAATAGCGAACTTTCGTCGTTTCCGCGGCGAGAAGCTAATTGTTCGGGGGGCGGGGGCGAGCGGGCAGTGGGACCAATCGTTCGGAGAATCAAAGCGAAACGTTCGCTCATTTTTTGATCGAGCGTAGTTCCCCGACAAGGTGGAATAAAATCAACGAACGAAAACTGTTTCCTCTCGTCCTTTCGAGAGGAATCTCGTTCTGGAAGTTTTTGCGTTCAGCTTAGAGAATTTAGGAACACCGTAATGCGTGGATCACGTGGCTTGAAAGCCGAGAAACTAATTTTTTCAGAGCCAAGTGGAGTAGATTAGTTAACGATAGATGCGAAGGAATCACAATTTTCTTAGACGATGGCAAGAAATAAGTTAAAATGGCAAGAATTAAATCTGATCTAGTCTTCCAATAGTTCGAATAACTTGGAGATTTCAATAAGATAAATAATAAAGTAACGAAGAAATTTTATTTTATTCATAAAATCCCCTTCGTCTAGTGTAATCAATCAACCGATTTTATGCTATCTTTCTTCAGGTACAAGCTATACACGAATCAAATATTTGCGAAACAATCGTCTGAAAAATATATCATCTTATTTAGTTCGTTCCTATTGTAATGCTTAAATAACCGCATATATTGTATCAATTTAAATTGAAATTTTATTAGGTTGGTGTAGATTCTCGTGCCGAAGATATTAAAAACTAGTTCGGTCAAATAACAAACTTGTTGAACAATTTTTTATCTCGCACTTGTCGCCGGCCGATTTAACTTTGGGCGACTCTTTCAACGGATCCGTGGTTGGGAGTTGGTCGGTTTTACAATATTCTGTCGATAGCCGTTTATCGATGGCTCGCTCTGGTCTGTCTTTCGTTTGTCTCTTGTCCGTCTTTCGTTTGTCTCTTCCTGCTGCCTCGGAGTATGGTCTTTTTATCGCCTCGCGGAATGCCTCGCTAAGGCCCCGTTTGGGGGAAACGTCATCCCCATTCGCTGATTGACTTGAGGGAGGAGAACCTTCTCGTTAGATCCCCTCTTCGACGGAGGACGCAAGCCCACCCTCAAGTCAATATTGGGAAACTCCCCAAAAATGCCGAAAACGGCTGAGAATCCCGGAGCGAGACGTTACCCCGAAGCAGCATGACGACGTGGGCCCGCATGGCCCGCCGTTGATTTATGGCCCTTGGCCTGGCGACGGTCCCGATGGCTCAAGGAGGCGACCAATTTCTCGAAACCCGAGTCCGAGAGTATCTCGATTGGTCGCACGTGCGGCGCAAGGGATGCGGCTTGGACGCTGATGGTCTATGGGGAGGGCGGCATGTGTCCTTTCGGGACCGTACAGTTGGCAACTAAGTTCTCGCCGTTTTTTAAAATTTTAACATTCCGCATGTCATTAAATGTTTTTGACATGTTTTAAATCATTCGAAAGAGGATGTTTTGTTTTTTTGTTCGAGTCTGTTAATTTTCAGATCATTCAAACGGAATGTCAAGTTGAGAAAAATGAGTATTTTCGACACCTCCTATTTGCTTTTAATCAAGGTTCTAAGACCGCAAAAGCGGCTCGCGACTTTTGTGCTGTGTATGTAGAGGGTGCCATAGCTGAAAGAACCGCTCGTGATTGGTATGCCAAGTTCAAAAATGGAAATTTTGACCTCAAAGACGCGCCTCGTTCTGGCCGTCCAGTTGAGTTCGATGAAGAGCGATTAAACCAACTTTTGCACGAAAATTCGCGCCGAACGACAAGGGAACTGGCAGAGAAATGGTATGCTCCAGCACTGCTGTAGAGAAGCATCTACACTCAATGGGAAAGGCTCAGAAGTGTGGAGCATGGGTTCCGCATGCTTTAACCCTTAAATGCATGATTTTTTGTCTTGAATTTTAAAAAATCGTTTTTTATAGGAATGTAGTCATAGGTTACGTAAAAAATAAATAAAAAAATTTAGGTAAGAATATTGAGTATTTATTTTGAAAAAAAGTTGTACGTAGACTTTTGGCAACAATATGCGTTTATTACTAAAATTATTGTAGACGTAAACAAATGGTCATGTATTTATATTATCTATTAGTATAGGAATTTTCACATTATTTATAAATGAAATGCAGCAAAGCAATTGCGATTTTTGTTGTGACACAAAGCAATTTTTAAACTCGAAAAAATAAAATATCTCTCCAAGTAACACATTGAAGGTGATCACCCACCACATTCAAATGTCAAGAAACACATAACTTACTCGCCAAAAGTAATGTCAAGTCTTTTATTTCACACATGATCTATTTTCTATTGTTATCAACGTGTGTTCGGAAACGCAAATACTCAGGTTTTTGAATAAAATTAAGTGGAACTGGAATGTAGACAATTGGCAACAATATGCATTTAAGGGTTAAGTGACAACAACAAAACTTAACGAGCTTGGTTGGATGAATTTTGTTGAAATTCTCGAAAATCTTGTTGAACGTTGGGAGGAAGTTGTAAAAAAACAACAAGGGAGAATACATTATTGATTAATTAGTTCTTAATTTTTATTGAAAAATAAACTTTTAACAAATTTTAAAAAACGACGGGAACTTAGTTGCCAATCCAATATTATAAGAAAACCAAACAGTGTCCAGCACTAAATCCTGTAACATGTGAATTCGTTCGCATATTTTGTAATACTTAGCAACTAATGTTAGAACGGATAATTTTCAGAGAAAGGTGATAACGAAAGATCTCGTTGCCGGTCTTTTATATCTCAGCATTGAAACACGAGAAATCTCATGAGCAGTCGCTTAAGTGTTAACATAATTATACGTAGGCTTATTTAAGCGAATGTTGTCTGACTCTAAATATTGACTGGAACAACTATATTGAATTCAATTACGCCAGATTTCATTTGCATTCGAAATGTTGTTACTCTCTTAAAATAAAAGTGTTGATGACTTCGACTTGGAATTTGTTCGTAATGTATATTAGTAATACAACATAGATAAGGATATTGATTTAACGATTTACAAATTTTTGTCATAAAGTATTTTCTCGTATCGAAAATATTGAAACACGAAATTAATTTTAGCAATACACGCTTGATTGATAAAAATGATGTTTAATCTTATAATTTCAGAATGTTACCGCAGAAATAACTAATATAGTAGAACGTCGATTATCCAAAATAACTAGGAAACAAGTTAGCCTTAATAAGTGATTTTTCAGATAATCGGTCTAACAGAATCTTAGCAAGCGTGTCATGAATAAACTACAAGTTATAACTAGCCTGCAAATTGGATGCGTTTACGATAGAAATGAGTAGATGAAACACAAAACAGTCAAACTAGTAGAACAATTTAACTTTATGTAAAACGTTATATTATGTATAACTCATTAAAATTATTCAAGCCAGAAATACACGTCTATGCGGTTGTCATTTCTTGCGATCGATGCACAAAATTCGTATTTCGCATAAAGATCCGCGGTATTGTGGCAACATAACAACAGTCAACCTATCACAGATGCGCGAAGTGTATCTAGACGACTAGTCAAATCTCGTTCATTAGTCTGTTCTGGAAGTGCATTAAAATAAATTCTACAGCCACAATTGTTGACTCATTCTCTTGTAAGGGTGTCTTGCCACAAAAGATGTAGGACACACTCTAGTCGTCGTTCTCTCGCTGGTTCGCGTGATGCGATCTGCGGAAACATCTTTGGAAGACCAAGATTCAAGTGGTTGTCTCATTATCCCTTTGCAGAACATCGAAATCCAGTTCCGCCACGGTTCAACGAGCGAGTGAGCCCGGCGCCAATCCGGACAGGCGAGACGATCGTATTGTCCTGCATCTCCCAAGGAATACCACCACCGATGTACCTGTGGTTCCGCGAGTCCGTGTCCGGCTCGGCGATGATTTTCAATTCCGAGAGGGTCCATGCGAGGGCGGGTGTACTGGTGCTACAATCGGCGAGATCCGAGGACGCCGGACGATACGTCTGTCACGCCAACAGCACAGCTGGTTCCGAGAGGGTCGAGCTGGAGGTCTCTATTATAAGTAGCCTCTCGATCCACCTAGCGCCTCAACAGGTTAGTTCTGCTATTCGTTTGATCCTTCTGTCCCGTATCCAGCCACTTTCCCCTCTCGATAGTCGCGGTATTGCTAGTGCTCTAACAAGACTTTGATTCGTTCCGCGGCACAGTGATATGAAAAGCTCGAAATCATGGTCAAAATAAGAAATAGTGACGGATTTATTTGAAAATTTGTATGCAAGGGTTTTCATGGTCGCTGATTACGAATCTGAATTTAAACATTCCAAAAACAAAATAGCGGATCAAATATGGCGGATAGGTTGTTGAAAAAATGATTTGATTTTAGCAAAGATTGGTGAACGCATATCTTCGGAAATCCTGATTACGAATATGAATTAAAAATTCCAAAAACAAAATGGCGGATCAAATATGGCGGATGGGTTGTTGAAAAATTGGGAAATGAGGAAGGTTCCGTGGCTATGCAGGAAGGTCGATCAGCTACGAAGCCAAAGGTCCTGTATACAGTTCCCTTGTTTTTTCCCAAGATTCTACAGTAATATTTTTGACAATAAAATTTTCGGAACGACTTCGACGATTCAGATTGCTGACATCTCAAGGCAGAAAATAATTTTTTCATGGCTTGTGTCACATCATCGTTCATGTCGGCCACAAATCCTTCTTGCTGCAATATTTTTTGCTTAAAATATTCTATTATTGAATTATCGTCACTATTTAAGTTTTCTTTAATAATAAGGAACACTTCTTTCCTAGTTAGACAGTATCGACTGTCACGGTTATATCCTAGAAATAGAAAACCAAAAATTGAAACATTTTTCTCAATCTAACAAATTTCATTTTTTTTTCAAAATAATTTTCGACATTGCCTAAATAAAGTGTTTTTTCTAACATCTCAAAACAATGTAAGCAATTTGGCACGATTTTTAGAAAGTTATTCTGCCTTAGATACTCTCGCGAGACAGTTTCCCGTACGTTGACTCACAAAAATGGTTGTAACTGAAAAAAGTGCAACGTGATGCAGCCAATTTTTTAAGTGCAGCTAGATGAAACTATAAACTATGGCTCCAGTANAAATAAGAAATAGTGACGGATTTATTTGAAAATTTGTATGCAAGGGTTTTCATGGTCGCTGATTACGAATCTGAATTTAAACATTCCAAAAACAAAATAGCGGATCAAATATGGCGGATAGGTTGTTGAAAAAATGATTTGATTTTAGCAAAGATTGGTGAACGCATATCTTCGGAAATCCTGATTACGAATATGAATTAAAAATTCCAAAAACAAAATGGCGGATCAAATATGGCGGATGGGTTGTTGAAAAATTGGGAAATGAGGAAGGTTCCGTGGCTATGCAGGAAGGTCGATCAGCTACGAAGCCAAAGGTCCTGTATACAGTTCCCTTGTTTTTTCCCAAGATTCTACAGTAATATTTTTGACAATAAAATTTTCGGAACGACTTCGACGATTCAGATTGCTGACATCTCAAGGCAGAAAATAATTTTTTCATGGCTTGTGTCACATCATCGTTCATGTCGGCCACAAATCCTTCTTGCTGCAATATTTTTTGCTTAAAATATTCTATTATTGAATTATCGTCACTATTTAAGTTTTCTTTAATAATAAGGAACACTTCTTTCCTAGTTAGACAGTATCGACTGTCACGGTTATATCCTAGAAATAGAAAACCAAAAATTGAAACATTTTTCTCAATCTAACAAATTTCATTTTTTTTTCAAAATAATTTTCGACATTGCCTAAATAAAGTGTTTTTTCTAACATCTCAAAACAATGTAAGCAATTTGGCACGATTTTTAGAAAGTTATTCTGCCTTAGATACTCTCGCGAGACAGTTTCCCGTACGTTGACTCACAAAAATGGTTGTAACTGAAAAAAGTGCAACGTGATGCAGCCAATTTTTTAAGTGCAGCTAGATGAAACTATAAACTATGGCTCCAGTAAGTTTGAAAGCAGGCCCTCATAGGCCGCAAAAGTTTCGACTATAACTTTACAGTAAATGCATTTCATTGGCTCTTATAATTTGAACCTACAATTTATCGATTTACCAATGTAATAGTTAACAATTCGTGAGATGTTAGCGGTACAAAATGTTGCACTTACTACCAGGAACAGTATCTATTTTACACAATTGAAAAAAAACACTTCCACAAAAACATACACGCTTTAAACTATTCACTTCGAACTGTCGCTCTCGCTCACGAGTAATGACTGCCCGAAAATCTCGAAATTCGGGGTATAATTGCCATTCAGGTATAAAAGTATGGGTCATTTCGTTTTTCCCAACACACGGACGCATCATTGAACTAACCAATCCGTAAGTCAAAAACTCCCCAACGACAACTTCGATCTTTTTGGATTTTGACCATGATTTCGAGCTTTTATACCACTGTGAACCGCTCTCTTTCCGTGGAATTCGATTGCACGATATGGTAGGTGCTGCGACATTGTACGTTGTGTAAGAGAAGTAACCGGAATTTTTCATTCAGAAGTCTCGTGGTGAAGGTATCTAAATAAGTAGACGCCAATGTGCTCAGATGTGACGTTGAGCCCATCGAAATCCATCAACCATTGTGTTTCCAACAGCTGTTTATGTCAGTCGATCTTAAGTGTATTCTGTGATTTTTACAATGAAAAAAGCTGTTGGGCAAAGAATTTGTCTCAATTGCATTTTTAACGAAACTTCTAGCGATTTTACGTTCATGAAACGCAACATATCTGCTGACAAATATGTGTTTGTGAGTCACATTTTTCACATTGCGAGAAACGAGAAGTGTATTATTTACTAACGTGTGTATTGTTTACTGACCAAACTTGTTGTTGAGATAATTTAGAGTTAAGATAATTTATATTAACTTCGTAATTTATTTCATATGCCATTTTAAAATTTCAGTATGTATAGAATACATTTCAAAGCATAAATCAACATTTTGGAAAATTTGATGCCATTGTAATTCTAACCCACTCAATTGGGTGGAACACATTTATTCGTGAATTCTTTAAATCGCAATTCTAAATAGAATTTTATACAAAGTTTGTACTGATATAGGTTTTGCACTCCAGATTCATTTTTTAGTGAATTATGTTCACCTTTCCTAAAATCGAATTCATCGCTTTGCATTCTGAATTCATTCTTTTGCAAGTTATGCTCAGCTCGAACCGAATCTCTATTATTCTACTGTACCTTTCACAATTTTAAAGAAAAGGTGACGCTAATAGTATAGACGAACAACACATAAAGTGTAGAATACGTTTATTCTGGCGCTTTACAATTTACATGAAGAAAAGTTCAATTCAAACACATAACGGTCGACTTCAAATGTGGAACAATCGAAGCGAGTTTTCTGCATTACTTCTACGTACTTCTTCTAAATAGAAATAAATTTCTTCGCTTCAATTATAAATATTTAAACGTTAAGGTAAAAAAGGTTAGCATGCAATAAATATAAATGTTCTTTGTCGTGTTGCAATATATTATAAACAAAGTGGCGCTAAAGGACGTAACCGTAGAAAGAAATCGGTGTGCATGGGATTAATCGCGAAACTGGGTAGAAATTTACAGATAAACGAAATAATTGAATACATTTTTCCCACATGTTACTTTCCCGTTTGAAAGTTTGTCGTCAAAAGATTTTCATGTTTTCTCACTGCAGATGAAATTAATTCTACAGGGTTTAGCAAGGATTTAATGCGATCATGAGAAGAATGAGATATTTCTTAAACTTTGCTGTATTTAACACACTCGCAAAGTACATTTGCTAAATCTGCAAGCTGATGAATGCTCGCTACTTTTCAATGCATTTAATCCTCGCAAATATTTAAAACATTGTTCTATCTCCTCCTCAGTAAAAAAAAAACTCGCAACGCGAGATCGACGATAAACAGTTGAAGCTCACTTCTATTGTATTTTCCTTTTGGAATTCAGACAGCTTTATGAAGTATATCATCGCTTACATAAAACAGCAGTCTATCCGATTATTGCACATTCACTTGCGTATATAACAGGATGAATTTACATATTTAAGTAGAATATGAAAACATTTCCTCGCCCGAAACTTCATTTTCATATAAATTGATATTATAAATTTTCTGGCAGCGCACGCGTTCGTAGTAACAATACGTAGGACAAGTACAACGAAACGGTAAATAACAAGCAAACCGCGGCTCTCTTTGCACTAACATCATTTGCAAGTTTTTAAAATGCGAAATGTTCACATAAACAGACATTAATGAGATTTCTACTTTATTAGATGTACATATTAATTCGAGCTTTTTCCCACATGGAATTATTAATTCGAAATTACACTAACTCTTACAATTCATGTTAAAATGATGACAACTTGACGTTGTCATCTCAATTCAGGATACAATACCTAATTGTAGGCGAATATATAATATGAAAACGAATACTGTATTCTTTTATTAACCCATTTGCATCATAAGCGTATATATACGCTCAATTTTCCTGGTCACTATCACCGGGGCGTATATATACGCGGCTGCGTTCGGTATTGAATCCAAATATTTAATGAATCGAATAACACACTCCCTAACAGTATAAGATCACAGAGACAAGCACCGTTACTGATAACTGTTACACTGCTTGGATGCAATGAAGATTTGTAATTTTGCTTCGCTTTGTTATCTCTGCAATCACTACCGCCGGTGCTGTGCACATACTGAAATTTGTTAGTCACTAAACTTATTTGTAATCTTTAAATAAAAATGGATGGAATTCTGGAATCTGAAAGCACTTTTTCTGATTGTAGCGCAGAAAAAATTATGCCGCTAAAAAGAGGACGAATTAGAGAAATAAGATCCGATAGTGATGATAGTGATAGTGATTGTGAAGTGCCTATATGCATCCCACATTTCAAATATTACCACACTGAACAAAATTTCTAACAAATAATGCTGAGAAATGATTTTTTTTTTACTGTTATACAATTTTACATCTAAATATAAAATAAAAATTTTTCGATGATATATGGGTCTTTTTTTCATATTTCCATATGATGCAA